GTTTTCGGAAAGAATAAACAAGTTTTATTTAAGAAAGACTTGTGTCGCTAAAGTTTCATCGGAACGAGTTTTCGGAAAATAAATTAACGACTGGAGACGTAACAATACTAATTTTTATTTGTTTTGAATAATTCTTTATGATTATCTTTCTGTATGAAAAAATATTTTAAATACCCTGTTCTAAATTTTAAAACTGATAAAATAACAATATAAATGCTCTTTTAAGTATAGGTTTTTGTATGTTGTTACCTACCTGACCTGGTTACAATAGATAGTATAGTTAAAATGTTATTATGCACTGAACTTACTGAAAGCCTGTACTGAGCCAGTAATGATGATTGTGATTCAAATTTAGTTTTCTTACCAAAAACACTATCAAGTATACAACTTTGTTTATATCTAGCCAACCTGACAGTATCTTTCAAAGAATGAAATATTCCACATGAGCCATTTACAAATTATTTATATTGTAATCATTATTACCTTATACTTTATATAGTAGCGCACAGGACTGAAACTGATGACTGCAGCAAATGTGCCTCTTTACATTAGAAACTGAAACAGGAAGAACTTCAAATTTAAAAAGCCATGTCTTTCATGTTTATGTATGGATTAAAAACAAACCCGATTTTACTAATCTGAAGGCTACCTCAGTCTACTATAGGAGAGCACCATATTTCTAATAACAGGATTACAAAAAAATAAAATACAATTATACAGTGAAACCTCACAATCCAAACGTATTTGAAAAACAACGTATTTCTTCTAGATTACTGAGACATCTGGATAGTTGAATCAGTCACTTTGAATACAGTGAACACTATTAATAGCATGCATTATGTATCGATAAATTAAAGTCTGTGCATGCAACTGGTAAACAACTGCATGTACCATAAACTTAATAGTTTATTATTGTATTTGTCATCAATAATTAATCATACAAATTGCATAATCAAAGTATCATATTATGTTATTGTCTTCATATAAATCATTTTGTTCTTACTAATAACCAAGTTAGCTGATATTTCTATGTGTATTCGTTTAGGAGCTGTATGACTTGATATGACCATTACATAAATCACTCTAATAACCTCTAGATATATCTTACAGTTTATACATACTTTCCTACTGTGCAGATTATTCTCAGAAAATAGTCATAAATGGGTACCCATTGTAAGTGAATTTGTTTTGTGGCCATTAATTGTCACCCAGGTTCCCACTTTGATTGACCCCTCCTTAACTGTTGTCAAATCATGTATGGATTACTGAATCACATAGCCATAGGAAATGTTTGTTATAAGAAACAGCAGTTGAGATTCAGTATACAAATATAAGGATTACCAATTCAATTTCCCATTGTCAAGATCTGTCTAAATAAAAAAGTATCCAGATTGTGAATTTCTGGACTGACAAGGGTTCATTATGACACTAAAAGAATCAAGCAGATGTTGCACATTCTCACTCAAATATACTTAAACCTGACAGAACGTTCTAAATGATCTAATGATAGCTCAGCTGATGTTAACAAGGATGATAAAAGTCAATCAACTACACAACACACTGTCAATCTACTAATTTTCATATAAATAACTAAAATGCTACCAGTGATAGCACACCTGCCTTTATAATACAAAGGCCCAAGATTGAATTCAGCCTCATTCCACAATATACAGTTCTTCTCTGAACTTCCTCAAAGACAAGAGTAGATCAGTAGCCAAAACAAAATATAAAACAATTAGTTATTAACATATAGCAGTAAAAAATAAAATAATTAGAATATGAATTGATATCTGAACACCACAACCTTCCTATAAATACTTTAGAAGTATATTTTGAAAAAGAAAAATGCTGCAATACATTTTTATAAATGTGTGATATGCAAATATTCTAAAATTACTTTCATGGGAAGTTTAATATGCGGCCATTATCCAGTTTTCTGAATAATATAATAATCTGCATCTTATATTCAAATAGTTAATCAGTGTGAAAAACAATGTTTCTTCCAGTTGTAAAAAGTAATTGTTAAGGAATTTACCTGCAACGGCTAGGTAAGATGTATTCCTGTTGTCTGCAATATAGGATTAAATGAAAAATTTTAAGGGCTTATGTAAGTTTTAAATATTTAATTTTGTATCATGTTTGTTATATTATACAGTGTTTTCATGAACACTACTCAAATGGGTACTGTACATAAACTATAAAAGAAAAAGCTACATCTTCAAACTCCTTTTTAATACATACCTTTTAATAAATGAATCTACCTTTTTACATTGAATTTTTGTGTGTGTCCACTTACTTTGTATCACACATACATACAGGTGTAAAGGATTGAATGTCAAGTAAGACAAAGTTATTGTTATTAATTATCTTTAAGCTTATAAATAGCTATATTATGGATATTCCTCAGATGAATCTGCATATTCCTAAATTCTATGAATCCTTTTCCACATTCTGTACATGTAACAGGATATTTATGGGTGTGTTTAGAAATTTCATGGCCTTGATGAGCACTTTTACTTTTAAAGCTTTTACTACAATAAGTGCATTTATATGGTTTCTCTTCTGAATGAGTCTTCTGGTGTCTAGTTAGGACATTATGATAAGCAAATGTTTTTTCACAGAATTGGCAGCGGTATGGTTTTTCTTTGTTGTGGATCCTCATGTGAATGTTTATGTGTCCACGCTGTGTGAATTTTTTTCCACAAACATCACAGGCATAAGGTTTTTCTCCTGTGTGAGTAAGCATATGTTTACGTAAGCTGCTCTGTTCTGTGAAACCTCTTCCACAATAATTACATTGATATGGTCGTTCATTTGTGTGGATTGCTACATGGTTTCGCAGACCAGTTGACTTGTTTGTAGAATACTTACAATAAGGGCAGCTAAAACGTCTGTTTTCTGTTTCATTTCGGTGTATCTTTTTATGTCCTTCCAACATTTTCATAGAAGTAAATACTTTTCCACACTTTTCACATGGGTATGAATCTGTAGACAAAAATTCTCCACTCTTATCATCTTGTTTTTGCATGTCAAAAGATGTAGAAGGAATGTTTGGATTGTTAGGATCATGTTTTGCTATGTAATGTTTCATAAGGTTGTTTGTGCAAGAAAATCCTCTATCGCACACAGAGCAGTGAAAACGCTTATCTCCTGCACTATTGATCTTTCTTACAATTATTTCCTGACTATTAAGTTTAACATTTTCACATGATTGTGAAGTACGAACACGTTTTAGATGAGATCTCATGTGGACAGCTAGACCAGACTCCTTTTTGAACATACTGCCACAAATGTTACACTTCACTGTTTGGAATTGAGCATCAGATTCTTGATGTTGATGGTCTTTGGCTTTGAAATTCTTCCCACCTTCCACGCATCTCAAGGATTGTTCATCTTCTTGACCATCTTGGTGAATAGCTAAATGTGTTAAAAGATCAGAGTAGCTTTTAGAGGAAAAAATACAATGAGTACAATGATGTTCATCAGAACTTGAAGAACCATGTTGTTCCTCATGGTTAACTAAAGAACCTTCTTTAATAAATAAACTTTGACAAAACTGACTTTTGTGCATTTCAATATCAGATGCAAATGATTCATTTGTTTCTCTAGTTCCTTCATTCTCCTCCTGATTCTCATCAAACTCAGAAAACTGATTTTCACTACATGCATTTTCATCCTTGTGAATATTGTTCAAAGGCTGATCTTCCATTAGTTCCACAAGTTGTACTTCACAATTAACACTGTCATTACAGCTGTTACTACAGAACATGTGATTTTCATCTTCATCCCCAGTACTGTCTTCTCCATTAAAACTTTTTGCTTCCAGTGAAAGTTCTTCATTACATAGAACACCAGCAAATTCACCACATTCCTTACCTATATACCATTAAGAAAAAGAAAGAAACAATTTATATATATATATAACTGTAAATAATCTATCTATATATATATCACTGTTATTTTACATTAATAAACCTTTGTAACAAAATAAAAATCACATGAAATATTAGTATTATGTTCAATGTAAGTTAATTCTATTCATTTTAAAATATTCTAACAAATTGTTTAACTTGTAAGAGTTAATTATAATTCAATTTTAAATATATTATTAATATAATGAGATCAGATAAGATGCGTTAATAATGAGAATAATTATGCAATATTCACAGTAGGCTAATTTCAGCATATTGATGGAAATTCTGTGGAGGTATCTGGTCAGGAAGAGAGGTTTCTTGAAATTATTCTATAGTAAATAGTCAAGGAGGTAACAAGAGAGGATGCCATTTTACATTTATTGTTATTCATTAATGAAGACGTGGTTAACAAGTGTTGAAGTGGGGGGACATTTGGGAAAAGTGATCACTGCATAATTAAGTTTGATGTCTTGCTACTTGTTGAGATGAAAAATAATTAGTTTCTAATTTTTTGAAAACCAATTTTGAGGCCATGAGATAAAATTTACAATTTGTGGACTATGATATTGACTTAAAACTAACAAAAGGTGATGTGGAATAGATTAAGGCAACTTACAGGAATAAATTGCTCCTACCCTAATATTACAAATAACATTATAGTCCTTCAAGGCTGTCCCTGCACACCCAACTCTGAGAAAAATTTAATTTCTTCCTTTATTTTTCAGAAACTTATATATTCCTTCTCTTAAGTTATTGTAATATGTAGGCCTTCAGTACTGCCAATGGCAACTTATTCTGTCAACAGTAGCAGAGTACAACAGCTTACATAAGTTTAAAAGTACAACTGATATAGAGCAAAAGCTTTTGGCAAGTATGGTTTTAATCTTAAATCTAATGCCAAAGGGTTCCAAGGTGTTTTCTGAAACAAATATATGTGCAAATTTCAAAAAGTTATACTTTTCTTGTAGTAGACTAGTCAGTTTTTTTCCTAAGATCATGATAAATGTAAAATTGTAAGACCCATCATTTGGTTCTATTTGCATGTTATCTTGGTGAAAGTTAGAAAACATAGTCATGCATCTACATTTATATTGAACAGATTTTTTTCACTGTTACATGAATAAAGTGTTCTCATGTAATGCTAATTTTTTACAAAATAATATTGAATTTGTTAAATTAATTACCAGTAAATCATGTAATCCATTCACACAAAATTTATTTGAGAATATTATAACTATATGAATAATAGCTAATATAAAGGAAAAATGTTACCTATACTCCTTAATTTTGAGTTAATTTCAGCATTTTTGTATGCTTAGTTGACAATATAATAATGCTTATTATATTAATGTTTATTTTTATTACTTTCATATGGACCTGTTATGTCTTGTTTACCTATAAACATTAATACACCATTATAATGAAATAATCTTTTTACAGGGAATTCACCTTGTATTAGTTGACAACTAAAGATAGTTATGAGGAAGAAAAAGTGCATTTTGTATGTTGTACTCCCTAAGAAAGAGACAATAAATAACTCTGACAATGAAACATGGCAAAAAAAAAAAAGACATCTACACAAGCTCAGGCTAGGAGAATGCAAAAGTACTTTCAAACACAAAATTATATATGAGAAGTTATAGAAAAAAAGACAGCTACCAACTAATATGTACAGCTATTTCACAGCTGTGTCTAAAGGAGTTGCAAGCATAGCCAAACCAGATATGAATGCAAGTAATATGTTACATTATAATACAACATCAGTAGTTCCTTTAACCTGTTCTGTAATTTTTGCACAGACCTGTATATCTTGTAATTGTGTGCAGAAAACTGTCATGGGTAAGAAAGAAAAGATTGGTAGTTGTCAAACAGTAAAATGCCAAATGAATAGTAAAGTCTACATCTTGGGAACTGAGAGATGTCCATGACACTACTTTCTGTGCTCCGTTGTTTTACATAAAAATTTGCAATTGAAGATAAATGACCAGATTTGTGATATCTATCATTGTGCAATATGATATTATTGTTTTAGAAGTCTTGCACAGCTCAACATGTACTTAAATTTCTTCTGGAAGTAAAATGGGAAGCATTTTAAGGGTGCTTTGAGTATGACCAAGGTCAGTAACAAATGTATGAAGATAGTTCATAGTACTAAAATGGACATAGGACATGCTATCAGACATGCTTTTCAATATAAATGTTTTCCTGAAGCACAGGAAACAGATTCTGCACTGGATCTAAGATCAGCCATTGTTCATCTAAGGAATAACTGTCAACACTTAATAAATCCACTAACAGCTGAGAGTGTACAAGTATTTGAACAACAAACCAAACTTCAAGGCATTTTATTCCATTTTTAGCTTAATCTTTACACTGTGTTCAACAAATGTACTGGTCAATAAATTGATAAAGTTTATTCACAAAGTTAGCAAGATAAATATAACTGCACAAAGTATGTACTCCAAACATTCAAATATGCTCTATCAGAATTGAAGAAGGAAGAGTTGTGTTTTTTCTAAATTAATTTTTATTTAAGAATTAGGTTCTAAATGGACAGACATTTTTCCATCATGAAATTTTATAAATGTGAAGTATTAAAAACTAGAAATAAATAAAAAGATGTTTCCTGTCTCACAATGTTACCTACACTGTTTTAACAATTACAATTTTTAATGACCAATGCAATCAGAGAAAAGTGAAATGAATCACTTCACCATGCATTTCATTGCTGTTTTACTTTGAAATGTGTAAAGGTCTATATTTTATCATCTTGTGATAAAACTGAACCAGTTAATAACTATCATTGTAGTTTTGAGGGGTCAGATATATACATCATACACATGAATTTAATTTTGACAAAAAGATAAAGTGATGACACCATAAGTTGGGACACTGGAGAAAAATTGGCCAGAATGCATATAATTCTGAATTAGAAAATTCATTAAAACCTTTTGACAAGAAATACAAAATTAAAAATCCACCTAGCTCTTGAACATATCATTTCTTGTAATATAAAGTGGGTTTAATTTTTTCTTTTTTTTATTGAAAGACAAACTGGAGCTTTGTATTCATATTGTTATATTCAGACAAATATATCCCTACTGTATTAACACAGGCATTTAATATTTATTACATACATACGTTTTGTAGCTTTAATTACAACACTTAGTTTAAGTTCTGAAGTTTTTCATGGCTAAATGTAATGCTAATTAATCTTCTTGAGTTATAATGTTTTTTGTACTACACTTAAAATGTAAATTAGTATAAGTAGTGATTACATAAGTTTCAAGAGAAAAAACTTGGTTACCTTTGTGGTACATTTCTGTGTGACACTTTAGAAAACTAGAAGAGATAAATACTTTGTTACAGATTTTACATTGGAGAGACTCTGTTGGTTTCCCATACAGATATCTGTTCTTATTCCAATCATCAGAAATTGACTCATTGTCAAATAAATTTTCTGTTTCACTTGATGAAACATCTTTTACTAAAATGGACATTTTCAGATTTTTTTTTATCTGCTCGTGAACATAAGTGTTCTAGCTAAAATCCTAGTAAAAGGTAACCATTTCTATATTACTAATACCGATAGCCACTATGAGTGCTACTGCATTACGATTTACATTTCAGTTCTCCTATCACTCGAATAATTCAGCGCCCCCTGTCTTACTACGATCGTTCATATAGCGATCGGCTATTGGCGGAACATAACGCCGCAAGTTTTTCAGATTATGTCAATTCGCGACATATAAGAATATGTAATAATATTTTATAAAACGTTTCCATTAGATGGCAGGCCAACCACCTATCCTTACAGATTTATCAAAGATGGTTATATATAGTTGAATTGCTGTCATTTTAGAAGGTGGGTAACTTACCAATACACATTAGCATAGGCACATTTTTAAAAAATGTTTAAATAAATTCCTTTTTTTTCTCTTAAATGTCCTTCGTAATATGCCTTTTTATTCTTAACATTTAACAGTGATTAATGATTTGAGTGAAATTATTAAGATTCTACGTGTAGGTTTTTAGCTTTTTATAATGTTACGTCTCTGGTCGTTGGTTAATTTTCCGTAGATATCATTTCCAAAAAAAAACTTAGCGATACAAGTCCTTTCTTAATTAAAACTAGTTTATTATTTCTCAATTCAACTTTGCAATACACTTAATTTCCACAGTAATTTAACTTAACATACGCTATAATTCACAACGAACGATTCACGCACTTTACTACCGCGATTGACTCAATTGTCCGTCTCTATCTCTTGAATCTGCAATTATTCATATCTATGCCGTCACTTCTCGCCGGTCTTATATATACGAAATAGAGGGCGTCTGGAGAACACTCAAGGCTTCACGAACGGACATGATCTTTCTAGAATCTCATGACGTGTTACTAGGATCACGTGACTTCCGCTGTGGTAACAATAATTTAACTTTGAAGCACCTTGAGCTACTGAGCTAATGTTTTTAGTTGTCCTAACACAATTTTATCTGCCCAGTATACACTGAGTGGTCACAAGTAAATAGACACCTAATTTTTCGTCATTTAACTGATTTATGCTAACACAGAGCACTATATAAATGAAAATGGTCCGCACACTAATTATATTGTGCTGCAATATGCCTAGACCTCAACGTTCTCTCGAATTGTCAAATTTTGTTAGAGGAAGGATAGTTGGTCAGGCAGGTGGTGAATAAGTCAGCGGCAAATTTCGCAGAATTTGGGAATCTCACTTTTGACAGTCAACAGAATCATCGTGCAGTTCAGAAACATGGCAAGGAAACAACTGAGCAGTGTCCGGGTCATCCTGGTCCATCAGAGAGGACAAAAGGGGCTGTCAAGAGGAGCATCAAAATGGATCCCAGATTAACGACTGCAGAAGTGGCCAAAGCTGGTGGGATGAGCCAGAAATCTGTTCAATGGATTTTCCACAGATTGGATTATCGTTGCAGAGCAGCTAGACGGAAGCGCTTATTAAGACCTGCCAACATAGTCAGACGAAAGAAGTGGGCAAGTGATATGATGACCAAGCCTTTGGACTTTTGGAAGACCATACTGTTCTCAGACGAATTAAGATTCGCTCAATTTTCGGTCAGTGGAAGGATATAGGTCTGGAGAATGCCTCACCAAGAGTTTT